CCCCGTTGTGTTGTTTGAGCACCAATGTTATCTACAAATAAAACAACATAGTTTAGTACATTTTATTATAAGAAGAAGCATAAATAACATTAGCATAAATAAACTAATTACTTACAAGTTGTCATATGTTCCATTTCCTTGTAGAATTTAACCTCATTATCCGTGCGGCTATACTTTGCGGTTTGCGGTAACCTCAAGTTTTGAAAATCAAATACCGCAACCGCAACCGCAAATGCGGTTCGGTTCTTAATACCACAAATGCGGTTCGGTTTACTGCGATTGCGGTTTCATTGCGGTAAATTGTCGGTTGGTTTTTGCGGTTTTTCGGTTTAAAATGCCACCCCTAAGACTATGGGTCAATAAATTATTAAATATATATGGTTTTTGACAGAAACTTTTCACAGACTAAATTTTTTGTCACCCCCAGTTATTGCTCCAGTTTCATTTTGGTCTACTGATTAAATTTTTCGGTCCGACCGTCAAAGTCTGTCAATTGTTTCGTGAAATTGAGGAGTAAAACCGTCAAAGTCAGTCCATCCTTGCAACCCACTGATAACTCTCTTCACCTAATTCCTCTCTCTGTCAATTGTTCCGTTGAACACGATTACTTGTTCGCCATAGAAGATGGTCACGTGTGCGTTTTGAGCCTCTCCTAGGGAAGATTTCTTCACATTGAGCCATGATGAACAAGCCACTATTTTCTAGCATTTGACAAAGTACTAGCTGAGGGAACCCGACAGTGCTTTAAATTTATAGAAATTATATCTAGGCATACCTAGAATCAGCCATCTTGGGAACCCTCTTATCTGTGAACAAAGGAGATATTTCTCCGGCGTCACTCTCTCCTCCAGATCTAAGTTATAGGGGAAGATAGGGAGAGATGAGAGAGATAGCAGGGGAGGAGATGGAGAGATGAGAAGGAGAATCGGTGGGAAGAGAGAGAAGATGAGGGGTTTGACAAGACTGTCGAGCTCAGGAGTTGGGAGGAGCCGTTGGGTATTGTTAAAAATTTAAGAATTTTTTATATTTAATTTGAATTTTTAATAGTTACATTTACCAAAATACCCATATCATGTTAGCTGATTTAACAATTTTTATATGAAAACTAACATAATAAGGCAACATTGGTCACATAATGGAAGTTCAGGCGGAAGATTGAGTCATTTAAAAAGTTATAGGGCAAACTAAGACTATTTAAAAACTACAGGAAGCATTTCAACAAGTAAACCCCTTAAAAAAAAATTATCACAACAACTAATCTATGCACTCAATAATACTGATCATGGGTCCTTCTCGAAAGAAATGTTGTGTGGTTCTTATCAAAAGTGCTTTCTCACTTTTTCTACACCCGCTTCTACGGCAATTTCAAATTTCTTTTTGAAATAATATGTATTTGATATTTTGTCCCTCGGATAATATATTTGTCTCTTTTCTTAAAAAGAGGAAAATGATTTGGTTGTTGTGTACCAAGAAAATATGATCCATGTTATTATTATATTTTTTATTTTAAAAATTTTAAAATATGAAAATTTGTTAATTTACTATATTATCTTTATTTAATGAAAAAAATTTCATTCGTGTGGAGATGTCTAACTTGGCAAACATTTATTAGCATAGCACTCTGCCGACGATATTTCGTCGGGAGAGGTTTTTTTAAGGGAGTTTCACTAAAACACCCAAAATGGAGGTTGAAATTATAAAAAAACCCAACACCCAAAACACTTTATAAACACACCCAAAACCCATCATTACACACACTCAAAACCCATTTATAAACACACCCAAAAAGTTGACTTTGGGGTTGATTTTGGGTGTGTTTCTATGTTTAAATAGTGCTTGGGTTTTTTTATAAATACATGTCTAGGATTGGGTTTATTTATAAATTTGTATTTTTTTAATTTTAAACAAAATCAGAAAAATAATGGGTATAGTCGTCAGGCTATACTAGTTTTAAAATAAAATCAACAAAAACCGAGTATAGCCGTATTTATATACGTAAGAATAGGAGAACCCCCTTGCGATTTAGCGCTCATGTGTAGCCGCCCGACTATACTATTTTTAAAATAAAAAAAATAAAAAAGCAAGTATAGCCGCTCGTCTATACGATTTAGACAAAAAAAGGGCAAAAAAATCGATTACAGCCACCCGGCTATACCATTTTTACAAAAATAGAAAAGACCGAGTATAGCCGTGCGGCTATACAATTTATAAGTATAAAAGAGAGGACCCCCTTGCGATTAGGCGTCCACGTGTCGGAATAAGTATAGCCGCCTGGCTATATGATTTTTAATAAAAAATTTGAAAAAAAAAAGCGAGTACAACCGCCCGACTATACTATTTTGAGAATACACTGATCAATTTGACTAAATTTGTTTCTCAGTGACTAAGTTGAAACTTTGTGTAAAATACAATGACGAAAACGGTATCCAAAATATATACGATTGCATGAAAATTTGTAGTTTTGTTGTGTGAGCAAAATTGAGATTTCTTCTACTTGTTAAATTTCTGTCTCTCTCGCGAGTCACAACAAATGAGGGCCCAAAAACAAACAGACTAAAAAAGCCCACAATGCAGGTCCAAGTTGAGCATCTACCAGGCAAAATTAGCAGCTTGACTAGAGTTTTAACAACTTCGATTCGATTAATGAAGGACGAAGACGAACGAATTGATCAAAAACACAAAAAAGAGGGAGAATGATGTCGTTTTGATCCACTGCAACCGCAACCGCCTCGTCGTCCCTGAACTCACCCAACCCAAAAATCCCAACAATCGAAAATGAGAGTGAGCTCCGGCGATGGCCTCAGTGGCGGCGCCACCTCCACCGCCTCCCTAACTGCCGCCGCGGCTTCCAGGGACGCCGAGGCCCTCTTCCGCTCCAAACCCATCTCCGAGATCCGAACCGTCGAGTCCACCACCCGAACCCAGATCCAATCCAAGATGGAGGAGCTCCGCCAGCTCGTCGGCACCCGCTACCGCGATCTCATCGACTCCGCCGACTCCATCGTCCTCATGAAGCGCTCCTCCCACTCCATCTCCCTTAACATCTCCTCCGTCCACGCCTCCATCGATTCCCTCTCTACGGCATTGCCTGCCGGGTCAAGTACCTCGTCGACACCCCCGAGAACATCTGGGGCTGCCTCGATGAGTCCATGTTCCTCGAGTCTGCCGCGCGCTACTCCCGCGCCAGTCACGTGCACTCCATCCTCACGCTCCCCGGTCACGTGCTTTTCCTCTCCAACTTCCCTCTGCTCCAGCACCAGTGGCAGATCGTCGATAGCTTCAAGTCTCAGATCTCTCAGCGCGCCCGCGACCGCCTCTTCGATCGGGAGCTCCAGCTGCCCATCTCCTCCTACGCCGACGCATTGGCAGCCGTTGCTCTGATCGACGACCTCCGCCCCGAGCACGTCCTCTCGCTCTTCCTCGAGACTCGGAAGTCGTGGGTCTCGCAGATACTCAACGCCTGCGGTGTCGATGCGCAGTGCTCCGACGTCGTTTCGGTGCTGTGCGAGGCCTTGAGGGTGATTCAAGTGACTGTGGGGCAGGTTGGGGAGCTCTTCTTGCGGGTGTTGAACGACATGCCGTTGTTTTACAAAGTGGTTTTGGGTTCCCCACCTGCATCTCAACTGTTCGGTGGAATTCCCAACCCGGATGAGGAGGTCAAGCTTTGGAACTCGTTCAGGGAGAAGCTGGAGGCCGCCATGGGAATGCTGGAGAAGGATTATATTGCCAAGGCTTGTCGCTCGTGGCTTAAGGACTGTGGAGGCCAGATGGTGGATAAGATCAATGGGAGGTTTCTCATTGATGCCATTGGCAGCGGCCATGAGCTCGCCTCAGCTGAGAAGTTGATTAGGGAGACTATGAATAGCAAAGAGGTATTAGAAGGGAGCTTGGAGTGGCTCAAGAATGTTTTCGGGTCCAACATTGACCTGCCTTGGAGTAGAATGAGTGAACTTGTTCTGGGAGACGATTCGGACCTATGGGACAGTATCTTTGAACCAGCATTTGTCGGGAGGATGAAGGTGATTGTGGACCGCAGGTTTGAGGAGCTCACGAGGGCCGTGAACGTTAAGGAGGGTGAACCCATTGATTTTCTTGGTGCTGGTGGTGGAATTTGGTTTGTAGAAGCCAAATCCAATCATGGTAAGAAGGGTACTTCTGCTCTGCCTTGTGAAGAGAATTGTCTCAATTTCTATTTTGGTCCTCAAGCTAGTGGTATTAGGGATGCTGTGGATGGTAGCTGTCAGGGGGTTCTTGATGACTTACTGTGTTTCTTAGAATCTCCAAAGGCAGCCCTTAGATTAAAGGATCTGGCACCCTATCTACAAGATAAATGTTACCAAACCATATCTGTTATATTGATGCAACTGAATAGTGAGCTTGGGAATTTGGAAAGTGGCAAAGACAAGCAAGGGCTGGTAACCGTTGAGAGGGCACTTTTCATTGGGAGACTCTTGTTTGCATTGCAGAACCACTCCAAACACATTCCCATCATACTTGGCCCTCCAAGGTCTTGGGCAAATGCAACTGGGTCTGCAGTTTTCGATAAGTTACCGTCCATGTTGAGACAATCTAGAGCCCCCACTGATTCTCCCGTGCTTGATAGCCCCTTGGGTTCTAAAAGGCACACTTCATCTGCTACTGCTGCATTGCTTGGAGCAAGCCAAAGTGCAAGCCCTAAACTTGAAGAACTTAATGTAACTATGCGAGATCTCCGCATTAGAGCGCATGGTTTGTGGATGTCATGGTTGTCCGATGAGCTTTCAGTTATTCTTTCTCATGATCTTGAAAAAGATTATGCTTTGTCATCATCAAGTCCTCTGAGGGTAAGTTTCATTTAACACACTGCTTTCTGTGTGTACCTTTTCCGGTGCTGCTATCAATTAACTATGCCTTTTAATTAGTATAAGTGAAATAAATTGAGAGCTTACATGACTGGTAATAAACTAGTTGTTGGATGCTAATTGGGAAGTGCAAATGATCCTTCTTTTCATCTGTTTTCAGTTAGAAATGAAGGGGCTTTAGAGACTTTCGAAGCTAAACAGCCTAAACTTGATATTGCAAGGTGGTCTTGATTATTATAATTTGATAATTGGTCAGCAACCACCCTATAATCAGTGATTATTGGAAAGTGGGCCTAATGATATGGTAAACAAACATTCATCACAAAAATTTGTCTATACCTACAAATACAGGACTAATGATATGGTGTTAAATGAAACAGACCTGAAGAAGTAAAATTGGTTGCATGCTTTTAAAGCAAACCCATGGGTTGGCTTAACATAGTAGTGTGTTTAAGTGCACGTTTTATTAGTATTTCTGAAGAACATTTTGTGTTCATCCATCTGCTGACCAAGATATTGGAGTGCTTATGTTCTGTTTAGGACCAAGTTGATGGTATATTACGCTATGCTGTTTGTCGTTTGCAAGTGTGATGTTGATTAGAATACAATTTACCATAATTTTCATTATTTGGGCAGGGTTGGGAAGAGACAGTAGTTAAGCAAGAGCAGTCTGATGATAACCAATCAGACCTGAGAATTTGGCTCCCATGCATGCCTTCCCTCTATGTAACCTCGTTCCTCTTCCGTGTATGCGAAGAAGTTCATCGAATTGGAGGTCATGTTCTTGACAAAACAATTCTGCAAAAGTTTGCATCAAAATTGTTGGAAAAGGTATGTAACTCAGCTTGATGTCTGACTTCACTCATCTTTTCTGTATTCATCAATATGTAATTGTTTTTCCCAACCAAATCCTAAATCCCAAATCTGACCCATCCTTGTTATTTCACAAGCTTTAACCATCAGTATGTTATTCCACATGCCACCCACTAGACCAAAAGGCCGTTAACCATCAGTTTGTTATTCTTACTTGTAATTTTTTGAATACCCCCGCTTTTTTTGTCTTAATTTTGTTTCTTCTAAAAAAAATTGTTACTATAGCTTGAACTCTCAGAGGTGTTTACTTTGTGATATTTATGTGAAGAATGAAGAAGTTGCAAGTTGTTTTGTTAAACAATTGTTGTGATTTCTACTCAACTATTTCTCTTTGATTGTTTATGTGATTGCAATATTTTCACGTAGGTCATTGATATTTATGGGGACTTCCTTTCTACTCTAGAGGCTGGTGGAACTGAAGTGTCCGAAAAAGGAGTTTTGCAAGTTTTGTTAGATTTGAGATTTGTTGTTGATGTCCTTTCTGGGGGTGATTCTAATGTGAGTGAGGAGCCATCTATAAACCTAAAGGCAAAAAGTCCTTTCAGACGGAAGCAGGAACAAAGCCACGTGAAGTCTGTCATTAGAGAGCGTTTTGATGGGTTGATAAATCGCCTTTCGCAAAGATTGGATCCCATAGATTGGCTTACGTGAGTTTGTTCATTCTTGTGAATAAAATTTAAAGAATATAAAGATTTTCCAAAAGTTTGGATCTGAGAGTGGTGTCTCCTTACATGCATGTTTCTCCCCCATTGTTCCCCTTAAAAGGCTGTCCCTAATTGTTGCTTTCAGAGGAAAATGAATATTCAGGAGTTTCCAGGTTATGTCTTGGCTAGCTAGTCATTTTTTATATTCTGGTCACAATGCGTATTGGATCTTATAAGGAAAACATTAGCTAATATCTTTATCTTAATTAGGAAAAAGAGATAGTGACTAGTATTGATAGGGGATAGAATGATGTGTGGTGATATTATGAATGCACCGACAAGTATCCTGTGCTGGATCTTTTTCTTTTCCTGTGGCAATCCTGAGCTGGATCTTGCCTAAGAGTAAATCTTATAATGTTCTGTTATCTGCATTTCCAGTGGCTCTTGAGCCTAGTGGCACCTCCTCCTCCTTTTAGAATAAGATTGGGAGGTGAGATCAAGAATTCATGGCTTGGTTGATCTGGCTATGTGTCTTTAGATTCCTAAGCCAGACTTCTGCTAAAACAAAAATAAAATGGAGGGATATCTATAATATTGTGTTGTATATCAATTATTCATAGCATTTAAAAATAATTTTGTAACTAATTAGGCATTTGACTTTGTGTTTTCTTACTTTATCTCATATCAGGTATGAGCCATATCTCTGGGAAAATGAGAGGCAATCATACCTACGGCATGCTGTCCTTTTCGGATTCTTTGTGCAACTTAATCGCATGTATACAGATACTGTTCAAAAACTTCCTACTAATTCCGAGTCCAATATAATGAGATGCTCTTCAGTTCCTCGCTTCAAGTACCTTCCCATCAGGTACGTTTTCTGAAACTTAAATTATTTTCTACTTTTTGAGCAACCCCTTTGCATGGTGTCCACCGGCATGTGTTATCAGTTTTGAGTCTTTTCAAATTTCTTATACATGAACTGTATAAATTGAATTGAACTGGCTGATCAGTTACATATGACTGCATATTGGTGTTTTCCAGTTTTAACTCTGGCCAAAATAGTTATTGCCAGAGGGTACCATTCAATATTGGGTTCATAGTTTTGACTTCATTTTGGTGTTCCAGTGCCCCAGCATTGTCTTCAAGAGGGACAGCTAAGACGTCCATTCCAACATCTTCAGATGATATTTCTTCGAGAAGTACCTGGAAATCTTATGCAAATGGAGACCTGTCCAGTAAGCTTGATTTGGATGATAACTCGAGTTTTGGGGTTGCAGTACCAATTTTTAAATCTTTCATGCAGGCAAGGCTTTCTATCTCTTTAGTTTTTCTTGTCACAATTTCTTCCTATTTTCGTAGTTGCATTTAAACAAGTATTGATTTCATATTGGAATAGGAATGCATATGTTGTTTGAGATGTAAATTTTTAATGGCATTATTAGACTTGGCGAAGTCATACATGGGACAATAGCACAACACTGACATGAACTAAAAGTTAAGTTTTCTGGTGGGGTCTTTTCAGTTCGGATCTGTAATGGGTTAACTTATGATGACACCTTATCTCAAAGGTTCAGTCAGTGCCATTGGTGAAACAGGTTAATGTGTTAGTGACATGTTTTCTTCATGATAGATGCTTAAAAAACTCTTCAGAGTATAAATTTTTTTGGGTTGTATTTCTTTAACGTGTTTTGGATTGTTGTATCTGATGTATAATGTGTTGGACACAGTTTTTATGGCAATATATTATATTTTGTTTATGTTATTCTTGGGCCGTGTTTGGGTTTAGTATATTTCCACACAATACGAACATGCTAAAACACAGTATGTTGCCAGGTCTATTGATGATAATCCAAAGTTTATAGTTTGGGAGTGATGGCAATATGCTGATTTTAGATACAAAATTCTCATAAACTTCTTATGTGTGAATATTGTTTAAGACCATCCAGACTTGAGTGGTATGGTATACAATTTTTACTCTTTTGTGTCAACTTGATTTTGATTTGCGAGTCTACTGCATATAGGATTTATATGGATTATTTTTTCTGGTTATCCACTTGTTTGCCATATTTGGATAGCCAGGTTGTGAATATGATGTTCCTTGTAATTGGCAGGCTAGAAGCATATTTGGAGAGAGCACATTGAAACTGGGATCAATGCTAACAGATGGGCAAGTGGGCATATTCAAGGATAGATCAGCAGCCGCCATGTCGACATTTGGTGATATTCTACCTGCCCAGGCTGCAGGTCTGCTCTCATCGTTCACAACTTCCAGATCAGACTCTTGATTGCCTACAGAATCCTTCAGTCTTATCTTCTTTTGGGCATATATAAGTAATTTTTCACCGTGGAGAAACAGTGGAGTCTCACCAAGCATGAGATTAGGGCGCCAGAGTTTGCAGTACTTATTTGAAACCAGGTAGAAAAGGTATGTGATTGAAATGAAGCCCTGAGTTTTGGATTTTAGTTAAAGTTTCAGGTGGGGGATTAGGAAACTTAAAATGATGAGGTTATGTATAGAAGCCAGATAGGTTGAGTAACCCTGATTTGAAGCTCTAGAGCTTTTTTTTTCTTTTTTCAATTAATTCATTTTTTGCTTCCATAGCTTATTATTTTCCGGGGGTTCTGTTATTATAAACTTGTATTCTTTTATTTATTTATACCTTCTGATGTTTGGAAAGAGCTGTCTGGTTATGGATATTGTTTGTACTTTAGTGGACAGCTTGAACACTGTTGTTGTACTTTAGTTTATAGATTCTAAATAAAATATTTGTGTTTCTAATCAAAATAAAAAAGTTTGGGCTGGTGTTGTTTGTGTTGAAGTTACTGCTGGTGTTCCCTGGCTGTTAAGCTGTTAGTTGTCTGCACTTTTGCTGACTTCCTATTGATTTCTATATTTGGTTTTTCTTTCTTTTTTCGGGAGAGGGGTGTTGCTCCTGTTAGTTCCTTGTGAAATGAATTATTACAAGTCTTCTAAGCCTCTTTACCACAAGTTGTTTTTCCATGTCTTATTAATTTGTCATCGCTGTTTAGTTATCCTGACAATTCCATCGAGTGGCATTATGCTTTAAGCTCTGTAACAAAGAATGTGTCAACCATTTAGTCTGTCAACATACTATGTAGTCTGCTGAGTGCTCTGTATGTTAATCATGTGTTGTTGACTGCTTTACTAGTAGAATGTTGTCTTGGAAGAGGCGTGTAGTTCGAGTGGTAGTACTTAAGAGCATTCACCATGCACCTGAGTTCTTGTCTTGGGTTACACCCCCTATATGGCTAGTGTTCTAAAAGTTTTATATATGTTATCTTGTATTTACACTTGCTCGAAAGCAAGGCATAGTAAGTATGGCCTGTCATCACTACCTTTATTGTCTTTGTTTTTTTTCTAAGAAGGCCCAGAAAAAGAACAGAAAAGCTGACGTGCATATAATGGTTCTGAGTCGGACAGATGCCATTGAGTTCTCTTACAATATTTCTTCGTATATAATTGCTCTACTTAAATAGTAACCGTGCATAGAAGACAATTAGCCATAGTACGACTTTGTTGCTACTGTTTTGCTGCATTACCAAGTCGCCTTGAATTTTGTATTTGGTCAAATTCTGTGATGAATAACATCAAAGTCAAAACTGGTTTTCTGCTACATTAAAAAAATTACCGGAGTTGTTCACTAACTATTGTTAAATCTAAAACTTCCTATTGAGTCTTATGAAGCATCTCTACTTGAGTGCTCTGAAAATGATGCAATACCTATTTATGTAGTTTGCTATTCTCTTCTTGTAGGCCAGTCGGAGGAGGATGCGTGCGTGATATTGTTCCATGTTCAAATTCATATTCAATTGTAGAAATTGTGAAACCCTTCTCATGTATTATTTGTGTATAACTTTCACCATACGAAATTAGCTGTATGTACTCTTAACATGTTAGTTATGAGTTTTTACATAAATGAATATTTTTTTCTTCATAATACTTGTCCAGATGTGCCATTAAAACTAATTATTTGTTCACGTATTCCATTTGAAAAGAAAAACCAAAAAATCACTTCCACCACGAAACTAGGCTAAAACTTTTGGATGGAATACATTTCTTTTCCCCATTCAATTTTTATTTCATGAGCCCTTTTTCTTGAAAATTAACGTACATCCGGATTTTCTCTGCAAGGTTAAAATTCAATCAAGCAAGGAATTATCCGTTCTCAGAAATTGATCCAAAGAAACATGATGAATGCTTGAAATTAGTACTTTCATTGGTGGTATAAGGCAAAAAAAACTATATATAGAAAATATGGGCAGAATAATTTATTACTTTTGAAACATACTTTGTATGGCGTACAATACAACCATCTCCTATTGTAGCGAAAGACAAAAAAAAAAGAAAAAAGAAGAAACCATCTCTTGTTGCCTGCTCAAAGTGAAAGTGAAAATGTTTCCCCAATAAAAAACCAATGTAAAAGTAAAATTGCCAACGGATGTCGATTATGAGATTATTTGCAGTGCCAATCAAAGACATTTGCAGATCTCAGCTAAGCACCATGTAATAAAATTTGGGTACTCGTTCATTAAAAAGAAACAACCACCAAGGTCAAAAAACTGTAAACATCTAAACAGAAAACTAGCCAAGTAGATTGACAAATCGATGATCAACGGAAGGAAACAGTTACTGCATTTGTCAATTGGCAGTGTTACTGCTCACTGTTCAGTATTCATCTGTTAGCTTACAAAATTCAAAAGTAACTCAAAATACAGAAACAAAAACATCGAAGCACTACAGCTAAGTTGCAGAAAGAGGGATTGGCTTCACCGCACTTTGGATTCGACGAAATGCCGCCTTTACTCTTTCCTTGAGACCTTCATTTTCACTCTCAACATCCCCACTCTGTTTATCAAGCTGTGCCACATTCCCATCAACACTAATCACTAGTTTCCCATTTTCTCCAGGCTTCACATCCCCAAAGAGTGACACAAGAAGGGCATGAATGACCTTTTCCACCTTCTTCCCATTCTCTTCCTCAGTTTTTACATCCTCAGATTCAACAACTACCTTGGGTACTTCTCGGTTGATATTCAAAATAAGAGCCACAATGGAGTCTGAAACCATGTCACTTATAGGATCTGATGACCAATGTACTGAAATGTGTTTATCTGTATCCTGCTTCACCGTCACCCGATCATGCACTCGCAATGTTGGCACCCCAGATTCCTCATCCACTGAAGACTCTACACTCTCATATATTTGCCTTAGCCGGTGTTTAATCACAGTGAAGCCACTAGCAAATGGGATGGTAATTCGTTGAGTGACATTTGCTGTGCACAGCTGTGAGAAGACATGAAGATCATCAGAAGCCATTATTTGATAACTGAAGCCTTTTTTTACCAGTAAACCGCTGACACTTTCACCAACTTCAGGGGTCTTCTCAGCAAGCCTTCCAATAGCTTTTGCCATTTTCTGTGAGTTAAAATACATTTCAACAGACTGACAATTCTTTGGGGTGAGGATTTTGGTGTTACGATCAGCAAACTGGGTCATCAGCTTCTGTTTGAGCCTCCCCATCTCATTAGCTTCTCCATGAACAAGGATTATATTAGGAGGCCTCAGCTCTTCCAAAAATGCAGTTGTCTGAACAGAGTCTGCATGAGCAGAGAATGAAATGTAATGGACCTGCATGTTGAGAGGAGCACTGAGTCCATTCATAAGAGTTACCTCCTTCGGTTCATTGATGATTGTTTTAGCCAGTGTCCCTTCAACCACATACCCTGGAATAACACATGCATTTTTCTTATCAGAGCACCACATATCAAATAGCTGCCTTGACAGCCCACTCTGAAGACCACCAGGGCTTGCCATCACCACTGACGGGCCTACATCTTTGAAATTTTCAATGCTCTTTAGTGGTGATACGTACTTGAATATGAAGGGATTTGACTTCGCATTGCGGATCCTATCGTTCATGGAAAGGGTGTATGTCTCATATACAGATAAACATCTTTTTGCAAGTGGGGAAGCATAATAAATAGGAATATTTTGGAGCTCAGGATGGTTGGCCCAATACTCATCAAGGATCAGGAGAAGTTCTTGGGCACGGCCAAGTGCAAAAGCAGGAATTAAGACACGACCCCCTTGAGAGACGGTTGAATGGATAACATCAGTGAATCGCTTCTCTCTGATGTGCCGAGGCTGATGGTGCTGTACACCATACGTGGATTCAATAATGCATATATCAGGCGAGAACTGTGGGGTCTCAGCAGCACGGAGATGCCGGTCTTCTTCACGTGAATAATCACCAGTGTAGAGGACTCTAACGCCAGCAATATCAACCATAAACATAGCAGCACCAAGGACATGACCAGCAGTATAGCACCAAAATCGAATGCCCTCAACCTCTACTGTTTGATGGAAATCAATAACCTACAATTACCATACACTGTTAGACAATAATCATGAGAAAATCATTCATGTATTGTTGGGTGTAAAGGAGTAAGGATCCAACACCAGTATTCAGATTAAGACTACTAAATAAAGATAAACGGATAATGATGTAAAGATGGTGAGGTTGAGAGTCCATCAATGAGCAAAATGTTAACCAATTCAAAGTACTAATATCGCCAACTGGCCTGCACCAAACTGAAATATTAACCAGGTCAACAAATGCTGACTGAACTCAGATCCTTGAAAGCACTACTTTTTCTGCACAAATCACTTGGAATTTTGGCAAAGAGAAAATATACATCCCTATGAAACACAGCCACAACTACAAGCTGTGATGCTGGAAAATTTTGGTTGGTTCAAACATACATCATTAGAAACAACATAACTCAAATTTAGTATAAATCTGTGATAGGGAAGTTCAGTTGGGAATAAAAACCAGTGGCAATAAACACATTGGTCATGGGAAGACAACAAACCTCAATTTTATCCATTGAGGCATTTATGTCCTGCTCATCAAACAACATATCTTCAACTGAAACTTTGCTCACTTTCACATAATCCGTCAAAAGCAACTTGTAGATGGCCTTTGTTGCATAAGTCATAAAGACTCGGCCTTTGAATGTGGTCTATCAAAAGTTATAGAGATATTAGTTCCCTGGAAAATAAAATACAAACTAATTATATATTTATTCATTCAGAAAGTGAAAACCTTCTCAAGAAAGTAAGGTAGGGAAGCAGCATGATCCAAGTGAAAACTGCAAGCAAAAAGTATGACCTAACATTAGTACAATTGGATGAATACAATAATGAGGTAACACTTCCACATATGACTTTGGCAGCAAAAGGTGAAACCAGACACATCTATAACCATGTTGCCAAATGAAAAAAAACAAAAAAACAAAAAAACAGAAAGAAATCTGATGTGTAGAATACAATGGGATTGTGTATGGTGCATGACTTCTTACATGTTTACAAAAAATCTTTATGTGATTGTCGAGAAGAGCATAGTACAACTGGCCCTAAGAAGAGAACCTTTCAATTTCCTGATTGTTGTTTTGGTGGCCTTTGTTATGTTTTCTGCAAAGTTGGATATTTGCTCGTTTATTTTGTTTGTGGTTTTCTATCAACTGTAGGATCAGGGATGTATCTTTTGTGCACTGCTGGTCCACTTCAATTGTATTCCCCATTTACTATTAGCATCTTTTTTGCACTGCTGGTCCACTTTGATTCTAATGCCAATTACTACTAGTATTTTTTATGTGTTGTATCTTTTGTAATGTAAAATATGTTAATCAGAGAATTAAGGGGGAAGGGGACCACACGGAATTATTGATCATGGAGACAATATCACTTTTAAATAAAAACATGAGAAGAATTCATGACATATTATTTGACTTTTACCTTCAACAATATTCAATACATTTCTGAAAATAATCACATCTTAAAGAGCTCGCGTACATAAAATCCATATCTTAAAAAAAAAAAAGTAATTATTTTTGCTAAGATATCCTTCTTGTACAATATCCAACCTTTTCAGGATCACTCAACCTACATACAAAACCATATTCAATATCGGCAGACATACCTATTCATCATATGCTGAAATATGCCTATTTGAAAGTCCAGTCCTATAAGAATTTGGGAATCTAAGCAGCTTAAATTTAACTCTCTTTTTTCTAATGGAAAATAAGTTCAACAATTACCAAGGTATAAGGCCATATTTGAACATTATGTCATGCAACTATGGTCACAAGTGATACTTAACATTTTTTTTTTTTGGACGAAAGATTCCTAACAATTGTGTTTTTTATTTTATTTATTTATTTCAATTCCTGCATTAGTGTGATTGCATTGACACCACAAACAGCTGTCACCAAGTCTAGGTTTTCTGCTACCCAAATCTAAACAAAACCTTTTCAGTTTTCGCCTCTTTCCAAACCTTGAACGCATAATAACCTATTCCAGCTTAAGAACTTCAAAACCAAAACCGATTCCCTTGATTGGCCATTAATTCAACTTCAGACATAACTTTTTTTCTCTTAACAAACCATCACTTCTTCTGGAATATTGCTTGGTGTTATCTATTTCATCCTACATCATTTTGGTGTAAAAGCTCTTTGTTGTAAATAGTTGGTATTGGACATTTAGTTCTGTGTAAATTTGGTATTTGAGCTACTTGTCCTACATTAGATATAATCTTTTCAACTGATAAGAAAATCAAGGAAATAAGCACAAAGCAGTTTTCCTATTAAAATTCATCTCTTAAAACTCTAAGAAATTAGTCAGAGAGAAAGAAAAACAAAGTTCTACTCAACCAGAGTAAACACTTAAATGGTTAGCTCATTCAATTAAAATAAGAAATATTTTGACCCAATGGGTCATGTCTGATGGTTTTATCATTTCATAAGCAACTGACACATAAAATACTAGAGCGGCAGGAGAAGCAAGGACATTGCAGTATTGATGCTATGACTTATGAGTTAAGCATACGATAAAATAAAATAAAAAGGAAAAAAAACATACTGAGTAATGAGGAGGACA